GGTCTTACTAATGATAGTGGTCTAGCACTTGGAGTATAATCCATTACGTTTCCATTCTTTTTTTTTCATACATAACTATTCACAACTCAAAAATCGTCACCTCCAATTCATTCAATTCATCAATCCTCAACTTCATTTGGGGTTATCAAGGAAAGTATCAACAAGGCTCAAAAGGGGTAACGAGTGAGTATTATTTCCAGAAAAGAAAAAGAAAAGAGAAAGAAAATACAAGGAACGCCTCAATCATTTTCCCGTCTCACAAATTCAATCAATTTATTTCGAAGTAGACTCGAAGCAAATCCTAGATGAATAATTTTCAAACCAACATCTCTCAAGAAACAAGTATGGCTCAAGCCTCACAAGGTAGATAATGCCATCCAAAATAACCAAGCAAAATAGTCAAAATATGCTACTCATTCTCAAAATCACAACTTCTTAACTTAATCAATTGATCGTCAACTAATCTTACAATACACCAAAGTCCAAGCTCAGAAAGACACAACAAATAATCCTAAAAATAAAAAGACTAAAGCAGCCCAAAATGCAAGAGAAAGAAAACAACCTAGGACAAGAACTAGACCTGGTCCACCACATAGTCACGTAAGGACGTAGGAACTAGACCTGGCGCCAATTTATTGTAAGTATTGTTAAGAACCATGAAGCTCACCATGCACACGTGGTTGTCCACCTCAACAAGTCAACAAGAGAAACCATCGGTTGTCCCCACAGAGCTGCCACATCATGCATGGAATCTCGAGCTGTACGGACGAGGCAAAAAGATGAGGAGTGCTGTCTTGAAAAAGAAGACAAAACCTTAAACCCTAAAAGCATGCAACATCATCTAATGGCTTGTAATTATATGATGGCACGTGAGAATGATCCTGTGGTGTTGAATAGCACCTTAGTGATATAAATAGAATTAGCTTGTAGGAGAAAATAATGAACAGAAAATGGCAGCATGCCAAAACCATGAAAGTTTTAAAAGCTCCATTAATGGTGTTGTATTTTTCCATGCTAAAGCTTATGTCTTTATTTGTTTTGCTTTTATGGTATCAGAGCTAGCCATTTTTGGTTAGTCTCTGATCCATCTTTTCCATTTCCTCACCTTTCTCCATCTCTCTCTTACTATGACTGTCTCTTCAAGCCAAAATGACACCACAATCCAGCTGCAGAGCCAGCTCATTTCAGTGAAGCTAAATGATACCAATTATCTCATTTGGGAACAACAAATAGTCACTAGTCTTCGAGGTTATGGCTTACTAGGATATCTCACAAGAGAAATAATTGAACCTGAGAAGCTCTCCTCAGATCCAACCACTGGAGATCCCATAGTGAACAGATCTTACATCAACTGGGTCAAACAAGACCAACTCATTGCTTCTTGGCTTCTATCTTCATTATCAGAGAATGTGTTGGTGACAACCGTTGGCTTGAGCACTTCCAGGCAGATCTGGGATTCACTGAGATCTGGATTTGCAAGCCACAGCCTTGCTAAGCAGATGCAGCTCAAACTTGAGCTACAGACTCTCAAGAAGGGAAGCATGAAGATGAGAGATTATTACAACAAGGTTAAAGGGATATGTGATCTTCTAGCTGCAGCAGGACAGAGAATAGATGAAGGTGACCAAATCTTACACCTCCTAGCTGGCCTTGGATCTGAGTATAACCCTGTGGTGGTCTCTCTAACCTCTAGATCTGAAAAGTTCTCCATGATGGAGGCTTACTCCATACTCTTGAGCTTTGAAAGCAGGTTGGAGTCTATTGAAGGAGGAAATGAGACAGATGGATCTCTTTTAGCTGCAAACATGGCCACTAATTCCAACAACAATGCCAATATGGTTGTTTATGCTTCAAGAGGTAGAGGTTCAAATGCTTTAAGAGGAAGATCTGGCCAAGGTAGTAGAGGAAGAAACTCAGGAAGATCATATAGAGGTAGAGGAGGAAGAGGTTTCTCAGGGCAGTCTAGAGCAAGATGTCACACCAAGGGAAATCAAGAGCACAAAATCACACAACCTCCTCTGAAAGTGGCTTATCTGCCAATGTGGCTAGCTTTGGAAATCAAGCTTCAGATGCTTCTCAAGACTTTCTTTGGTTTCCAGATTCAGGAGCCACCCATCAT